ACACACACACACACACACACACACACACACACACACACACACACACACACACACACACACAGAGGGAAGCAACACAAGATGACTGAGCTGCCATTTCACCTATACCCACCCCACCCTTTCTCTCGCGCTCGCTCCTGATCCAGCTCTCGCACACCTGCACTGTTCTTCTTTATGTCTAAGAACGCACAAGACACAAAAACAAAAGGACAACGGCCAGCGTGGTGGTCCTTACCTCACCGTTCTCATCTGCGTCTCGTGTTCTGTCATCTTTTATCTTCCTCCTGCATTTTTGTGTAAGGAAAAGAATTGCCCGCAAGTCCGAATATTGCTGCTGGGACGCTTTAATACAGGTATGTCTCTATTTCCTATTAATTTCAAATGTTGTTTCATCAGTTGAAATGCCTTTTTCTGTCCTGACTGTGGTGAACCTAAATATTAACTATGTGAAGACTCATGAATACACAATGGTAAATATTTATTATATTGTCTACTGGATACAGTCTTGGTCATTTAATAATATGTAAAATCATAACTAGTAAAGGGAACTTCCTCTGAAGGAAAAAACCTTTGGAGGTTGATATATATGCTAAGCTGTATATTGTCTAAACATTTAGGTGAATTTAACACCTTTTATACATATTGTTACATATTAGGCAAGGCAAGGCAAGGCAAGTTTATTTGTATAGCACAATTCAACAACAAGGTGATTCAAAGTGCTTTACAGAGACATTAGAAACAAGAACAAATAAAAAGCATGATTTACATATTACATGATTACATATTACCTTCTGTTTTGGAATAGAGTCATACACGTTGATTAAGTGTCTTGCATCAAATTAGCTCTTTTTTCTAAATGTTGTAGAATCTGTCATAGGACATGCACAGCTGAACATTTTATCATGTATTTTGAGCAATGCTGTTTAGAATACACGATAATATCACCAGTGTCAGAGCTCTGTAATATTGTAGATATAGTGTTTGGAAGAACTCCTGATTCCTTTGGGTATCCCTTTAATTCTGCTTGCTCCTGCAACTCTTAGTAACAGTGGTGTATCTTTTCAGACAAAATTGGTGTATGATCCTGAAAATGCAGACATAAAATGAGATCAGTATCTGTGTGTGATCCCATCTGCTGATTCAGCCTCAGATACTCAATCCTCGCGATGTCTGCAGAATAGAATATAACGTACCAAAACAGTTTTGCATTTGGGAGCCAACTTTTGGCAAATTAACTTCCCCTCACTTAGTTTGTTTGCCTTTGTTAAACATCACCTTGGCACATGATTTTCACCTTTGGCAGCTCATTGTGGAACAGCAGAGGTCCACGCATGACGCTTCAACCTCCCACCTCACCAAACACCTCCATGTCAGCAGTTTGGCAGAAAGAGAGAGAGAGAGAGCAGCTTTCACATCCTGTTTTCAAGTGTTTTTGCCAGGCCAGCAGAAACAAGAGTCATTTCTCACTGATGGTACAGCATCTATAAGCACATTACTGCTATCTGATCAATAACAAATATGGAAACTCTCCTTTGTGTGTATCCGTGTTGATATTGTTTGTTTGGATGGTTCTACGGAAAGTTTGCAACAGTCTTCTATTTTATGGAAGTATAATGTTCTCTTTATTGCACGTGCTGTGATGTTTTTAGGGCTGAGCAATCTTTTTTCTTCATCTCACCAGTTTCTGTCGTCACTCTTCTAATAATGACTGGGAACCGCCGAGTTGAACCAAGCACCTCAGCTACCCCTACCCATCTGCCAAATGCAACTACCACGCCAGACCAAAAATCTGGAGGCCACAGTCTTAATAAGTTCATGAGTGAACTTCACAGCATCCACAGTGAGTTCGAGAAATGACTTAATGATAAAATGTATGAATTAACATTTGTAACCAGGAAAATTAGGAAAAAGGATTATAAAAATTATGAATGTGAGCAAGTTACATTTTTTTCTAGCTGCTACGGGGATTTGGTGAAGTATATGAAGAAATTAAGAAACTTGTGCACTATTAAGAAATTTGAACATCTCACATTTCTTATTAGTATTATCGGTGTTTTCCCAGTCAGCTGGAGGACTGGTATCGGATAGCTGCAATGATTCAGTCAGATATTATCCCCTAACAGCAAACAGTAATGCAAGTGATATAATTTCAACAAATATTTTTGAAGGCCAAAGCACAGAACAACATCTAAAATGCCATATTTGACACATTTGCTTTTATGGAGCAAATATCCCACATTAAACATATAGACATATTTTAAATTATATAGATTTAATTTTAAAATACCCTCCCTGGTAGTAGTGCATTACAAGTTTGTGTGACAATCATAGTTGGAAATCATTCTTTTTATATTTTTGTTGTTGTACTTCAGATTAAGTAAGTCAAATGTATTTATATAGCACTGTTTACAGATATATGTTGCATTATGCTACAACAATTAAGAGACAATACCAATAGACAACAACATTAAAACAGAATAAAAACTTAAAAAGAAGAAGAATGTCAACTGAACGCCCAATTTAACAGTATTCTTTTCAAAAAAAGATTTCACTGAGATAAACTGTTCCAGAGCCTTGGTGCCACAGACTGAAAGACTCTGCCCCCCCTATTCTTCAGTCTTGTATGAGGGACAAATAATAGATTTTGAGATATGTAGTCTGGAGCTTTTCCATTTAGTGCTCTGTAGGGAAGTGTGAGAATTTTAAAACAAATTCTAAAATCAACTGGGAGCCAATGTAAAGAGGATAAAACAAGGGTGATGTAAGATCACTTGCCAGAGTGCATTAGGAGTCTAGCTGCAGCGTTTTGTATTGCTTGGAGGCGTGACAGAAATGATTGATCTAAGCCAGTAAATAAGGCATTAGAATAATGTAGGCGCAATGACACAAACGCATGAACAATTTTCTCTAGTTCAGAGAAGATTATAGCTTGCAATTTAGAAATGTTCCTTAAATGAAAGAAACTAACTTGAGTTATACATGCGTACTGCTTGGACAGCCATATGCATGCAAATTTTTTGGAAAATTTACAATTGCATGCCAAATGACAAAAATGTAATCTTGGAGATGGTGATGTCCCTTGAAACGACATTTCAGAACAAGCACTTGAACTATGCTGTGATAATACCATGACATGACAGATGACAACACCTTGCAATATGTTTTAATCTGGATTAACATAACTCCAAATTATGGTCTAAAATTTCCATGGATTGTGCCCTCATAGATAACACTGTAGAGCTGTACAGTTGATTTACAATAAATGCAAAATTCCATAAAGACTTGAATTATCAGCTATTCAACAAATAATACAGTAACATTAAGGTTCATTGCACTATTTCCCAGTGTTCACTTTATGTACTCTTAATTCAGACAATGTAGAAATTTGTTTTATTTCATTTTGCCTTAAAACTATTTTAAGAGAAAACAACAAGAACTAAATTTTTTGTCAAACATTTATGTATGATTAATCTCTGTGCTTTGTGGATTTGCAGTGCCATCATGGGCTGTCGCTGCCCTTTGTATCGTGAGCCTGTGTATGGTGCTGTCCTGCGCTGTGTGCGTATGGAAGAAGTTCCTAAAAAAGGGGGACAAGGGCAAAGAAAAGGACAAGAAAAAGGGGAAAGAGAAGAGTAAGGGAGGTTGTGACACTGAAATGGATGGAGGTTACAATGAGGTAAGCTGTAAAAACACACAGTCTGTCTCCCCCCCCCTCTCCCGCCTGCAGACGCATCGTCCTTGCAATGTATCACAGTCCTGACATCCGGGTCATCCAGGACTACTAAAACTGTCAGTGTGTGTTCAGACATATGGATGTTTTGTACTCCTTCATGTTGTAATAAGAGTTGAACTATGGTGTGAGATAACTTGTTCTGGACTTTAATCAAAGCTGTGTGTCACACATTGCTCATGTATCATCTATTTCTGTGTCTGGTTGTGTGAGGGTACACAACATGCAGAAGGAACATCCTCACAAGTTGTAGCACAGATTACCTGATGTGATGCATGTCTGTCTGCATGCAGTCCCTGAAAGATGAATGTGACAAAGAAACAGAGCTGTCAGATAACGAGCCCAAGGAAGACGAGAAGCTGGGCAGACTACATTTCACATTAGACTACAATTTCACAGATAATACGGTGAGTCCCAGCTATTCACTATGATGCGTTTTGCCCACCATCTGCCAGCTCTCAAAATGTCACATTTGAATACTTTTCTTCTCCCTGTCAATTAGCCAGAGTCTCTTTTCTCCCCCTTACATTCCCCTGTTATCATGTTCCAGCTGGTGGTAGGCATCTTGCAGGCTGCAGAGCTACCTGCGATGGATGTGGGAGGAAGTTCTGACCCTTACGTTAAACTCTATCTGCTACCAGACAAAAAGAAAAAGTTTGAAACCAAAGTTCATAGAAAGACCTTAGAACCCAACTTCAATGAGACTTTCACATTCAAGGTAAATTGTAATACACCAACATAAATAAAGGTCATTTCCCCTGACTAGCAGCTCTGTTATTATATGTGCAAAATGACTGCCTTTAATCATGTTCTCTGCTCTGCAGGTACCATACACTGAGCTGGGCGGGAAGAGCCTTGTGATGACTGTGTATGACTTTGACCGTTTCTCAAAACATGATGCTATTGGAGCTGTGAAGATACCCATGAGCAGTGTGGACTTCAGCCAGTCTCTGCAAGAGTGGAGGGACCTGCAGAAGGCAGAGAAGGAGGAGGTAGGAGAATATTATGACAGGGGGAGGGTGAAGAAGGGAGGATCACAGAAGATGAATGCGTTTAGCTTTTTAAATACTACACAAAGCATTTCAGTCTTAGGAACTCCAGCTTCTTTTACTAATTAATAATTTATGCATTAAAATTTATTAAACATTCATCGAATGTGATACTCTTCTTTTTCACTACTTCTTGTGTGTATTAGAGTGAACGGCTTGGAGACATATGTTTGTCCTTGAGGTATGTCCCTACAGCAGGGAAGCTGACAGTGGTGATTTTGGAGGCCAAAAATCTGAAGAAAATGGATGTGGGTGGATTATCAGGTGAGTTAAGCAGCAAAAACTTTGAAATCATCTCAGATTTAAAGCCTTTGGCAATAATCTTTTTGACCTTTTTTTAGTACTGATAATTTTCATGATTCAGTGCAAACCAATTAATACAAAATCTAAACATCTAAACATATGTCTCTCTGTGTAATTGATGATTTCACCAGGTGCTCTCTTCAAACTCCAGATTTGGTAGTGCTGGCTCAGTTTTGGTCTTCTAAATGCCTTTTTAGTACTGTGCCCACTTTCAAAAAGAGGACAATTGATGTTGTGTTTCATTGATGGAGTTACTGCATCCATGCCAGGCCGTTGGTCTGCTCTGTGACATAAAAACTCCCTGTTCTCATTTCCAGACCCATATGTGAAGATCCACTTAATGCAGAATGGGAAAAGACTCAAGAAAAAGAAAACAACAATTAAGAAAAACACTTTGAACCCTTACTACAATGAATCCTTCAGCTTTGAAGTACCTTGTGAACAGATAGAGGTACACATTTTTAATTGCAAATACAAGCACACAAATACAATAATCAGCACTGATATTTGTGCATCTGTATTTTCATTTGTAGAAGGTGCAGGTAGCAGTGACTGTGCTCGACTATGACAAGATTGGGAAGAATGACGCTATTGGGAAGGTGTTGCTGGGCGGGAACAGCACTGGAACTGAGCAACGCCATTGGTCAGACATGCTGGCCAACCCCCGGCGGCCAATAGCCCAGTGGCATAGCCTTCAACCAGAAGATGAAGTCAATGCACTAATTTCCAACAAGAAATGAAAGCCTGGAGGGATATAAAACTCAGCATTTACCTCAAATACTTCTAATTTTTGTTCCTTTAGAATGTTAAGCAGCTTAACTGACTAATTCTACTCAATGATAACTTGCTTTAGCCATGACAATATCCAAGTCTTTAAAACAGGCTGCAAGCTTTTCATTCCCTCCTCCTGCTTCTGCCTTATCAAAGATGCATCACTATGTACAGTGTTATTAAAGCTAATTACATTTTTTTTTACTTGTAAGTGTCATCTGTTCTATGATGTCCACCAAGCAAATTACACTTACGCAATAGACAAGCCAAAGGGCTGAAAATAGGCACTTGTATGACTGCTATTAAGTGCCTGATTCATTCTTTTGAAATTCATTTAGGTACGTTAAATTTCTATTGTATTCCACTGTAACATTTTACAAGAAAAATAATATCATTAAAGGTTAATATAGTGCACTGTGACTGAGGAGCCAAGAAAGAGAAGCCAAGATAATTTCTAGGCGGCACTTACAGACTTGTTCCTTTGCTCTAGCCAAAGTGGAGAGTGGGAACAGGCCCAAATCTCAACAGGAATGTTTTATTTTTCCTGTCTTGACAGCATTGAAAATTGGAATTTGTCACATTTGCCTTTCTTGTTATGCCACAAAAGTAAACTATGGGCATTTCTAACAGGGACTAGTGATGAACACAGACTTTGTATAGCCATGCAGAATGCTAAAAGAAACTGAAGCAAATAAATTGTTTTAAGCTCGTAATTGCATAAGCCACAAAGTGGCAATTTCTGCAAAGTAATAATGTGCACATACTGTAGTGAGCGCTGTAGTGTTTTGTCCTCATGTATACATAGACAGACAAATAGGAATTCCATGAAAACATTATGGAGGAAGTTCATTTTCATTGAGGAACAACAAGGGTGCATTATTATAAGTGTAGATAATAGCTATCCTAATATATGCAGCTTTAATTATTTTAATAAACTGGTCCTTTAAACAGCTCAGAGGGAAAGGCCTCTGTGTATACTACAAAGCCTAAAGCCCCACAGAAAAATATTTTTTCTCAAATAATTAATTCATTGCCATGCTGCATTTTGCTGTGTTTAGAGAGGTTACATCCATTATAGTAAACAGGCATGTGAACAATAATGATACCATAATCGCTACTGCAGTTACTGACTTTAGGTGGGAAAGCTCAGGACAACCTCACAACAAATCTATTTTTGGTTTCAGTTTTTAGGGATCTGACTTTAAAAGTAATAATAAAAAAAAATGTTATGATTGCTTTGATAAGACTGCCTCTGTATAACAAAAGATTCAAGTGTAAAACTCTGAGTTCGACATCTCAGCTGCCTGAGGAGACCCTGACTTATCCTGTCTATGCAGAACTAACTGGATAATTAAGTTTTACCATGTGCAAAACCCAGAGGATGTTACCTGAAATTAATAAAACATTTAGTGTGTTATCAGTTCTGTTCCCTGTGGGAGATTTACACTAATGTTTGGTGATTTCATAGCTGTAATGAGTGATTTTGCAGCCAGTGCATTAAGAGCAAGTTTTGTTTGGATTCTGTAAGGCTATAGCTTATGAAGCAGTCCATCCAGTGCTAGTGGTGTGGCAGAGAGACCTGTAAGTGTGCCAGCGAAGCAAAACTTTCTATCCTGTCCCCAGCAGGGCTCCATCACTGCTGAATCCCCTCCTTCTAAATCCTTTCTCTCCTCATTTAACAGTCCTTTGGGGCTGCTACAACATGCATCAGCATGAAAAAAGCTGAAGTGTATTAAATTATTGTGAGAGATCCCATCTGGAGGTGCTGAGACTTGCGACGTCCTCCTTTTTGTCTTCACACTAACTCTGTAAACTGCAGATGTCGCTGTAGAGGCATTTTGACCAGAGCTTAAAATCATGGACAGGCCTACCTTTGGCATTTTTCATGGAGTCAACTATGTAATGGTGACATGATATGGGGTTTTTTTTGCAGGCAGCAAGCAACAAAGTGCTGAAAGATACAATTTAAAATAGGTTATTTGCTTAATTGTCTGCTATGTGTACAAACAACAATGGTCCACCCCATGTTAATGACTTAATAATATTTTTTTTCTTGAATGATTCACAGGTCCATATTGAGAATGGAACAATGGCGCAGATTATGACTGTCACCCCACAGCAAGGCAGGCTGGGACTTTTTGTTTACATGTTCTGCTCTGGCTCCATCTGGGTCTTTATAGCTTCCTTCCACAGTCCAAAAACATGCATACTTACTAAATGTAGTAAAAAGATCACAGCTGACACCAGATGACACTGGCGAAGTGTGGTGGCAAGTGCTGTGCAATAACATAGCTTTGTCTGTGTTAAGTGTAGGTTGAAATAAAGTTAACGTGAAAGCACAGATTCTTTGTTATGTGTAGCAAGATAAAGTTATTCCTGCGCTAATAGTCCAGTAAGCAGTGCAGTAATATACACCAGTATTTACTGGTGTAACATCTTCCGGTGTGGCTGAATTAAAACAATTCCTCAAACAAGAGTGGAACAACACTTCTCAAAGTGATAAGAAAGACTCATTGCCAGTTACTGCAAACACCTGATTGCAATCCTTGCTGCCAAGGGTGGCACAACCAGTTGTTAGGTTTAAGGGGCAATTTATGCCTGTTAATAAATCAAATTATAATTTTTAAAAACTGCATTTAGCATTTAATTAGGTTATCTTTGTCTAATTTGTCTAATTGAAATTAGTTCAAATATCTTAAACATGCAAGAAACAAAAGAAAAATTTATTTTTTTTTTTTTTTTTTTTTTTTTTTTTCTTTTTTTTTTTTTTTTTTTTTTTTTTTTATTTGATTTATTTATTTATTTTTGCTTTGATAGCTTTACATATGGTAGCTTTAATGATTTTCACACATCTTTGCATCAGTGTTCGTATTCCTTTTTAGCTAGCTAACCTACTTTTCTGTTAGCTAATGGACTAAGTTTACTTCAGGGCTGTCTTTCAGAAGGGCTTTTACTCCTGTTGTTTTCTTTTCAAATATATGTTTGTTGTTTTTATGGTTTGTTTTGGCTAATAATGTGTATATAACCAACTTTTGTGAACTGGACTCTTAATTCGAAGCTCTCTAGTTCATTTCCCCCCTGCTTGTTTCTCTGTTTGTGTCTCTGACAAGGGTCCCACCCCACAAGTGATTTTACGGTACATTCAGGTGAAAACCTCTGTTATGGAGGGGCAGATTTGTAGGCTCACACGGAGGCAAACGGTCAAGCCAACGTCAGCCTGCTGGCTGAAGATGCAGTGATAGAGAGCAAAGCAACAGGCTTACCTGCGCAACAGGTGTAGGCTACTCGTCAGCTGGTCAGGAGGGGGGGGCTGTCTCCACCAGGTACGTTTTACAGGTACAACCAGGCATCGTACCGGTTCAACAAACACCCTGAACTCTTTCCTCTCGGGACAGTTGAGATGCACCGTTAACGTTTCGGCGAGACTTCCTTTCGGACTCTGAGATGAACTTAAAGTGGACAGTGAAACGATTTCTTCTTATGTCGTTTTCAGTCTCCCACTTGCTGTTACTTGAGGGTAAGTCAGACACATCCAGACTTCTGTAGATGTTAATGTTATTGATATTATATGATGTATTACAAGTATGAGACAATATTTACATAAATAAGCCACAAAATCCTTGAGGTCTTACAAGTTATTTTCGACTCATCTCTCCTTTCTTTTATCAGTATTAGCACTCACAGATGGTAATACAATTTTACAACTGTCTGCTTAACACGATGTACACTTTGAGATGTATTTTGATTTTACACCTATAAGATACCTTTGACTGAGATGAGTAAGGCAGAAACCTTAATGCTGATTTTATAACTTTGCATTTAGGAGTTCAGAGTCGACTTTCAGTGGCAGAAGGAAGACCACAGAGGTAAATAAAAGAAAGAATACTAAACATGTTGCTGTCTACTAATAATATTAATACAGTATTAATACATTAGATGATACAAATGAAAAGTCATTTTTTTCATATGTCATTCTTACACATTGCTCTAGGGTGAACATGATAAATGCATTTACACTTCCTGTATGGTGTATATGACAGAGACAGTGTATGAGAGTGTGTGTCTGTGTGTGCCTGCACATGTGCGTGTGAGAGTTCAGTACAGAGAGGTTTCAAGTCTAAATTCAAGTGGTGTAAAGTGCACTTAAGTCTCCCCTCTGACTGTTTCTTCCCACTAATGTGCATGTTTGTGTGTGTGTGCAGAAGAGCTAATGCACTCCGGAGGAAACGGGATCTCCTCGGGGAGGAGGTTTGTACACTACACCTAAGAGAACCAGAGGAGGTCAGGGCACCCACATGCGCACAACACCCTAACCGGCACAAAGCTGTCTTTGTAGAGAATGAGACACACTCACTAACTTGTACACTTTCTCCCACTCAACTTGACGCAACTGTTATCTTACAGGAGCAGTTAGAGCAGTGGTACAGAAACATCAGTGTCAGCGATGTTGTTAAAGCTTAAGAGTTATTTAAGGAACTACTCTTAGCATCTGTTGTTTACTCTTTTCCAAGACGTACAGACCATTGCTGTCAGAGGGTACTCTGTCACGCAGTATTTTGCACAACTACACAGCCAGAGATTCCTCTTCAGGTAAATACTCCGCCTGTGAAGTGATTCCAAATGCATTCACGGAAACTTAACACTCTTTACCTGGGCAGGCTGGAATGATTACCCTTGATTTTGTCTTTCCCAGAATACTGCGGCTGCCTCAATGGCGGCTGGTGTCAGGAAGGTGGGGTGTGTGACTGTGCCCAGTTCCAGGCATTGGGAGACCGCTGCCAGATCAGTGAGTAATCCACCCATCTACATGTCTTCCTTCAGATTTGTCTTATAACCACACATTTTTGGTATGCAATAAACCAGCTGGCTAGCATCTTTGGTAACAATATCCTTTTTTAATAACATAACATAGTCAGTCTTCAAGAATTTGTGAATGTGCTCCACAATCGTTCAACAAATTTTAATTAGCTGTACACACTCCAGCATTAATTATCAGATTTTCCCAGATCTCTTTCTCTCTGTCTCTCCTTTGTTGATACAAATCCACCAACCTCCATCTCTACTAAAACCACCCACCCATACACACACACGCACACAAAGACTTTACTCCCTAGAGGAGCTGATATAAAGTCACTTGAACTTAGGTAATAGGGTAAGGGCTGAGTGATGGAGTTTCTGGTTTCTATATTGTGAACAGGCTCCTTATACAGCATATCAGGAGATCTGAGGTCACAGTGATTGTAAAGACATTTTTCATTTCAATAAAAACTAATTTAGTGTTGACAAATGGTCGAAGGCAATGCAGTTCTTTAGAGACCACCTGTGACTCAGCTGAGACTTGAGGAGAAACCCTGAAATGTCACTGACAAGATAAAAAATATGAATTTTAAAAATAAAACACCACTACAGAAAGAAAATATGAAAGAATGTCATGAGTTCAGGTTTGTCATGAAGGTAATAAAAGCTTCACCCAAGAGAAATATCAAGCTCTCCCACCGTAACAGATTATAATAATTGAGGCAACTGAGCTATTCTTCAAAAAGTACTGAATAAAATTTGAAAATTATATTTTTTAAGCATTAATGTCTGAAATTGAAGATATGTAAAATGAGCCATTCATGTCAGAGTATTAAAATCAGAAGATGTGTTTGCTGTCAGCGCAACCCACCTCCTCAGATTTTTGGGAATGGCCCTCGGCAGCATCTTGGCATATCCTGCTATGGGGATTTCCTCTAACAAAGAGCTTTTAGAAAATTCAGGAGTTCATTTTCCTCTGATAAGTGCAATGAAATAGAACATGATGAAAGGCATAACGATGATAGGTCAGTTCATTTGTGTCACTATCATTACAAGAATCTTGTCTGACTGAAGTGCCCATTTTTCCTCTCAGTACCTAACCAGGGCCAGGATAGAGATGGGATCTGCAGGTCATGGGGTCAGCACCACTATGAAACATTTGATGGAATATATTTCTACTTCCCTGGAACCTGCTCTTACATTTTGGCCCAGGATTGTCACTCAACTACACCGCAGTACACAGTGTGGGTAAGGCTAGTAATCAGTCTTTACTCTATGTCTATATATTAGCTTCTTGCTACATTGCCATGTTTGCTGTTAAAACAAAGCAATACGGAAGTTTCTTAAATAAGCTAAACTGCAGTGGCATCTGACTGCTTGTACTGAATAAAATAACAGGTAATAGGAGATCTGTAAAGGCTATAAAACAGTCATGTGGCAAGGTCTTAAAGTGTCTGTGTTTAGCATACATTATTAACAACTATCTGCTGTCAGCACAACACCGATGTGGCATATTTCTTTGTGCCATTGTTTTCTAAAAACTCAACAAAAAAATTGTTTTACTAAGGACAAAAAAATGTTTTTAATTATGATTAAGCTTTTCAAAAAAGGTGCCAAAGTCATTCTAATTATGTCTTTATCCTTGCAGCCATATATTATTAGATAATAATAGTCTGCAAAATTTGAGTTGTAGCTTTAATAAGCCCTTGTTCATAAATCGGTATGCTTTTCCCTCTGTGGCTCTTATTCCACTTCTATCATTTTCTGGTGTTTGTCAGGTTCACAACAGCAGAGTGTGTGAGGGGAGTGTGTATTTATGTCCGAGAGCTCTCAGTCTGTTCTTCCCAAACGAGGAGGAGATCCACATCTCGGGATATCGGGTCCACCAGGGAGGTCGCAGGTGCATATGAGTGTGTGCATGTACGTGTGTGTGTTTGTTAACTGCAGAGGTGTCAAAATAAAAACTAAAAAGGAAGGAAGAAAGAAAGAAAGCATTTGCTCGCCATCCCATCTAAACCTACTGTAAAATCGATAGAAGACTATAAGTAAGATTTTCAAAGACCTGACGTCATCCAGTGCTCTCATGATGTCTCTGTCTCTGTATAATGTCAGGTTAAGTTTGCCACAGACTGTGGGCGGTGTCTTTATTGAACGACTGGCTGATTACCTGCTCGTGAAGAGCGTGTTTGGCTTCTCTTTGGCCTGGGATGGAGGCTCGGGCGTCTACCTGAAGATGAGCGAGGAGCACCAAGGCGCCCCTTGTGGCCTGTGTGGAAACTTCAACAATGTTGCTGGTGATGACCTCACCACTGCTCGCGGTAAGACCGGCCTGACTGGCGACTCATCCTCTTATCCCTTCTCTCAGCACCCACTCATCATAATTATTGTTATTATACACTCAACACTGATTCTGGCCAATTATAGTAGCAGTGGGACCTGGGGAGTCTAGAGTGGAAGGACAGGGGAGAACTGGTAGTTTTGATTTGAATAGCTGGAAGAAGCATGGACTTTCCTCATATGACCTAGTAACATGAACTACGGTGCCCCGCTTGTTTGGGAGGAGAGATGACCAGTAATGTGGAGATGAGCCCAAGGAAAGACAACAGACAAAAAGGAACCAACTACAGCGCATTTCTACACGCACATATTTCCTCTTAGTGCCTCTTATAATCAGCCCTCTTTTTTATGTCTCATGTTATTGTGTTTAATGAATTAAAGAAATAATTTAATGTATGTTTGAATGAAAAATCTACTCCATTTTTACTCTGTGTATGTGTTTTTATATATTTTTATCTTTTGTCTGTACCTACGTCATGCTGGGTATACCACATACAGCTGCACATATGTGTTTACTTTAGGTATTCGGACTGATGAACCTGCACTGTTTGCTAATAGCTGGGCAGTGGACCTTGCTCATGAACGAGCCTGTCCCTCAGTGGATCTTGACTTTAGTGGGCCCTGCCAGTCTGAGTCAGACATGGATGTAAGAACCACAGAAGCAATATTTCCACTTAATAACATGTGCAAAGACAAATCAGGCCCACCAAAGTGCACCATAATAAAACCTTTTTTAGCAGTGTTAATTTTTGTTTACTTCTGGTGGTATATTATGTTGCATATATTCATACCATACTTTATTTGTATGCAGGATGCTATAGAGAAATGCAGTGCGCTTCTCTTTTTCCCCTTTTTGTCCTGTCATGAAAACATCGATCCCAATCCCTTTGTTGCCAGTTGTGTCTCTGACCTTTGTGTGTAAGTAAAAGCAAGCACACTGTCGAGTAGATACATTCAACCTTTTGCTTGAGTTGAAACTTTATGCATAGAAAGCAGTTCCCCGAAAACATTTGATGCATGTTTTCAGCTCTGATGATGAGGAAACTTTTTGTCGAGCCTTGGTGGAGTACACCCGAGCATGCTCCCATGTTGGATATCCCGTAAGAGAGTGGAGAGACAGCTTCCCTTCTTGCAGTAAGTAATGGCTGCTGCTCTACGATTTCAGCGGAAACATGAAAACTTGTATAATGTATTTAGTGCACACTTGTGTTCTACTTTTATTGTTAAGCCAGTTGTTTGTGTTTATGCTCAGATGACGGCTGTGAGGAGAGTTTTGTGTATAGAGACTGTATCAGCTGCTGTCCACCTACCTGTACATTTGAGAAAGAATGCCTGGGAACCAATCTGCATTGTCTGGATGGCTGCTACTGTCCTGATGGTATTCAAAGAACCCCCCCAAATTTTTTTAATGTCTCTGAAATTGTTGACTGATCTCAGATCCTTGCATGCAGGTCTCATCCTGCAGAATGGAACATGCATTGCTGCCTCTCAGTGTCCATGTGTTTATCATGGAACGTCATATGTACAAGGACAGGTGCTACAACAGGGATGCAGTGTCTGGTGAGTGTGGAAAAGTGTTACTGTGTGAGAATATAGCACAGCCAATGTGTTGCTAACTGTTTCTGTTTTGTTTTTTCAGTGTGTGCATGGGTGGTGTGTGGAACTGCACTGAGAATAACTGCACAGGTGAGAATCCCATCGAAGACAGCCAAAGAAGAAATAATGCATCCAGATTTAAAAAACAAAAACACTCTTCTCTTTGTCTCTTCTTAGTTGAATGTTCAGTGGTTGGGGACGTGTTTGTGACGACGTTTGACGGAAGGATGTTTCTCCAGCCAGGGGCGTGTCAGTATGTCCTGGCAAAGAGCCGCAGCAGCAGATTCACCATCACACTACAATATACTACTTGTGCAGAGGTAGCACGCACAACTACTTTTGCACACACCTAACAAGCCTGCAGTGTTCCTTTAATCCAGATATAACTGCCCCTTCCGTATAAATGTGTGTCAACAGCAGCAGGTGTGTATTCAGTCAGTGACAGTAG